GGAAAGAGGTATCGGATATAAGTGAAATCCATAGCCCGGAGCTGCCAATTGTTGCTTTAAGAATATCTGGGGTAAGAGCTGGAACCAACAGAACCTATACTTATCCTTCTGGATTTGCACAATTTTTATAGGAGAGCCACAGAAACGCACAATTCAGTCATGGCTGACATCTGTGGATACAGTTTCCGAGGGTAGGCGTATTGGTCTGCAGTAGAACACTTAGATTCCAGTCCACTGGACTCATATCTATCTGTGAATACAGTAAACCTCACACCAGAGAACAAGTACAAGGATCCTTGTGATTTTCACACACTGACCACAGAAATCTACAATCACAGCTCATGTTAATGTGCCAGTCAAGAATCTAGCACCTTTGTCATGGATCCCCATGATTCTTTTTATATAGAAATCCACCTCCAAATCACTGCTGTGTGTGGAAATGTACATTAAAAATATGGACCCTGTTTTGTGGTGCTAATGCAGCACAAATTCAGAACCTATTAATGAATCCTTGCAATAGGAACCACAAGAATCCACCCTCTAGTCACAGATTAAACCCAGTCAGCCAGACTGCACTGTGAAAATTGCATCCAGTGTTTTGAGGTGCACAAAAAATGTAGATTCAGCACCATTAAGACAGTCAATTTCATAAATACCAAGGCAAACAAAAGTAGATCTCCAGCATGCATTCTCATAAGATTTTTCGTATCATGTAAATTCATGGTCTAATCACAATGTACTTGCATGTGGTTAGTGTACCATAAAAATCCAGCCCTCTGTGGTGCCATCAGAATGGAAAAAAACCAAACCCAGTGCATTTATGGATTCTCATTTTGTACCCTAAATACGTCATGAAGCAGCAGATATGCTATTTTTATGGTTACTTTTCCCTCCCTCTGTCAACCTATTGACACCCTGTGATCGAATTCTCTCTTTCTCGCTTTAAATCAACACATTAGTTACCAGTCGGAAGTGCAGTTTGCTGACAGTAAGAGTTGTTCTCCCACGGCAGCACAGCTACAAGTGCTTTTGTGCACTATAATTCACACAGCATGACAGAAGGTTTGTAGGCTGGAACTGAAAGGATATTTCTTTACTTCAGAGCAAACATGTAGGGTCAGGCTTGAACACTAAATACTGCCTCTGACAGAATTTGTGCTTGTACAGTTGCTGGACACAGAGCTAGTCTCAACATATGTAGCCATAAAGAAAGGACAAGTCACCTGTTTGTTTGGGCCACAGGTAGATGCTCATAGCTTGAGGGTATGCAGTTTTTCAGACAGTAGGACGAGTGGCAAGCATTGATCTGACTCATTTCCCTTGCTTGGAGGGCCTCCGCAATAAATCAGGGTACATTGCACTGAGATTATGTATTGAGCCTGACCTGCCCTTGCAAAAGGACTGAGCTTGGGATGCATAACAATAGATTGCTAGGATCCTAGAATGGACCAGGAGGGAGACAAGTAAACCAGTTGGGAAATAATAGAGTGTAAATAGCCTGTTGTTGGGAGTGGGGTGTTTTGGGGTGTAACCCTTTTCAGGCATAAACACCTGGCTTCAGCCAGGGGGTTCTCAGTCTTCTTTCTCTTGCTGAATCACTAATAAACTATTGAGCTGATCACTTCTATGCGTCTGAACCCAGTATATTTCAGATTACTAAGGGGAATCCTTCCAAGGCATCCACAAAACCCATTAATCGCCTAATTCTATCTAAAAACAGTGAATGTGTACCAGGCACTCTGGAACGTACAACAACGAGAAATATTTTGCAATGAAATGTAAGGTTTTAAAATGTTTCTTTTTTTTTGGTAAACATTTTTATTGGTTTTTAGTACATTATGTTAAAATACTTTACTTCTTCAAGTTTTCAATATGTGAGTCCTCTACACATTTCATTCTACCCATTTTCTTACTCTTGTCCATCTTTTATTAAATATCTTATCATCCGTCCCATGCAATTGTGCATGTATCTTATCTATTTCCACAGCTTCCATCATTTTTAAGGCAATTTCTTCTCGAGTTGGTATTCTATCTGTCTTCCAATATTTTGCGAACAAAATCCTAGAAATTCTCAAGATATACAGCAGAATATACATTTCTCTTTGTATTTGTTGATCCCCTGTTACTATGTTTAACAAATAAATCTCAGGCTTTAATTCCACAGTTACAGTCATAATTTCCCCTTTTATTTTTTGCACCATTTTCCAAAATTTTTGTATTTTTGGGCATCTCCACCACTTATGATAGAAAGTTCCAACATTTGACTTACATTTCCAACATAAGTTTGAAGTATTCTTATGACACCTGGCAATTCTGTCAGGCGACCAACACCACCTATGGTGCATTTTATAGACGTTCTCTTTTAATGACACTGCCCTTAAAATTTTCAATTTTTTCCAAACACTATACCACTCATCAAGGTTTAACGTATAGTCTAAATCTTGCATCCAAACAATCATGGAATTTTTCACTATTTCATCATGCATGTAGTCCTCCAGTAAGCAGTTATATATTTTCTGAATTAGTTTGTCACTTGACAACAACCAAATCTTGTCTAATTCATTTTTACTTTCCTCAAACCCTTCTTTTGTATCTTTCTCATATCTAGATCTTAATTGGGTATTTTCCCACCATACCATGATAATTTGATATTATGTTGCTTTTCTAAATTCTCTATCGATTTTAACTTCTTTTTGTCTAGTAAAATTTCATATTTTCCTTGTGTATCTTTGTTATAAGTGTAGGCTTAACAAAAGCCTCTAAGGGTGATACCCAAAAGGGAGTTTTCATATAATATAGTTCTTTAACAGTATTCCTTATTTTAAGCAAGGCAGCCCTAAGTATGTATCGTTGAAAAATAGTATGTATTCTATCGTTCCCATACCATATGTAGGTGTGCCAACCCATACAGAGATCAAAACCTTCTAGAGCTAAACATCTTGTATTTTCCAATAGTATCCACTCTCTTATCCAACTTAATGCTGCTGCTTGGTAATACAACCTCCAGTTCAGTATACATAATCCCCCTTTTTCTTTCTTATCCTTTAATACCTTCCATTTTATCCTAGACCTTTTAGGTGCCCAAATAAATTGTCTAGTTATTTTATCCATCTCGTCAAAATATTGTACTCTTTTAACTATTGGTATGTTTTGTGCAAGAAACAAAAATCTTGGTAATATATTCATTTTTAAAGTTGCAATCCTTCCCATCATTGAAATATGTAGGTCTTTCCATTTGGCCAAATCTTTTCTAACTTCTTCCAGTAATTTATTATAATCATCCTCCATTAGAGTGCTACATTTGTTTGAAAAAGTTATACCCAGATATCTAACTTTCTTCACCAGCTCCATCTTAGTTATAATTTGTATCTCTGACAAAGTTGCAGATGAACAATTTTTTGCCAACAATTTAGTTTTCTTAGTATTAATTTTGAGGCCAGCAACTTGTCCATATCCTCTGATCTCATATAATAATTTTGGTATAGATTCTAATGGATTTTCTAATATAAACAAAAGATGATCTGCAAATACCTGCAGTGTGTATTCTTCAACTCGTATTTTCAATCCTTGTATTGATCTGTTACCTCTCACTAAGTCATTCAACGTTTCCAACGCATATATAAATAACAGAGGTGACAAGGGACACCCTTGTCTTACACCTTTCTGTATTTCAATGACCTTTGTCATTTCTGCATTTACTATCACCTGGGCATATTTGTTTCCTATAAATTGCTTTAATCATTTCCAAAAACCTCCCTCCAGGATCCCATATTTGAAGTTTTTGTATCAAGAATTCCCATGATAAATTATCAAATGCCTTCTTAGCATCCAAACACATTAAGACCATTTGTTTTTCCGGATGTTGCTCATAATATTCCAAAACATTAATCACCGTACGTAAATTGGCCTTCGTTTGTCTCTTAGGTAAAAACCCCGCCTGGTCTGAATGAATCTTTTGTACGAGTACCTTCTTAAA